CTGTTTTTATAATTGGAAATGAATCCATTTTAAATTCCAGGAAGTTACTCTGCTGCCTCTTGAAATTTTCTGGACCGTGTCCGAGTTTATCTTCTGCAACTTCATGTAGACCGTAGACGGTTGACCAAGGCCAAAGCTTCTCCATTAAGTAAAAACAATTCATTGTCAGATCCAATGTCAGGTGTAATATTATCCGAAATTGAAAAAATTTCCAAAATCCAAAAGAAAAAGAATGGTTAATATCTTATATATATCTAATAACATGTGAAGATTTAAATTTCCACTACAATTGCTATGAAGGTGTCTAAAAATGGTATAATTAATTTAGTCATCAAGTTTATAATAAATTAGCTGATCAATCATTCGCTTCACCTAATCACTTATGCATAAATTTTTCTGCCATGTGGTATGTAGATGAGAAAGAAAACAAGTTTTTTGAAACAGAAAAAGAATATGAGTGAAAGATTCGTTTCACTTGTAAGAAAGTTTCAGAAACAAGTTTATAATGATGGTTGTGTGTTACTCTTTGTTGGAGACAAGTTTATAGCAATGAAGTTTGCCACAAATTTTCAAAATTATTTGCAACTTGCTAATATAGGCCAATATTTTTTCTTGTACGTACCAACTACCAAGAAACTATGAAATTAACTACTCATGATTTTAATCAAACCAAATATGCCTGAGTTTGGAACCAATAGCAATGATGAATACATATATATCACTTCTGTTTCTTTAATTTCTTCTCATTGATCTCGTCTTTGACAAGGTTGTTCTTCCCTGAATCGGTTAGCTTCTCCTCAACCATCTCGTAGACTCTTCCCAACAGACTGCCCAGAGGCTTTATTCGATCACCGTGCTTCGACAATATCACAGGAATTGTTGTACCCATCATAACACCTGCAGCAGCAATAACAACAACAGAAATTTTAACATCGCAATTAACTTAATAGGGGGCTTTAGCCTAGCTAGTGGCTAAAATTCTTTCTTCCTTGCTCTTTGTTTTCCTCCCTACCAAACAGTTATTGTTACCTCTACAAAGAGTTGGCAGATCAAGGAAGCTTCCTACGTAGGAGAAAATTAGTAGAAAGGCAACCGTTTGTGGAAACACAAACCATCCTCTCTCAACATCCGTCACATGCAATAACAATTTTATTACTTTATTAGTCAGTTCCCAACAAGCGTTTGCAGTCTCCATAACAACCTGCTCTCGGATACTTTCCAATCTCGACTTGGTTGCTTCTTGTCTGATATTAAAAAAAAAGAACAGTGTCGGTCGTCTCTCTCAAAATTTATTTACAGTTTAAAACTTAATTTGGAAATGAAACTACTTACTGGCCAAGATACCGATTTACATATCTCCAAATGAACAATGAAGTAACAATGAAAATGACCACCCATGAAGCAATAGTGAGAAAGTTGTATTCATAAGCTTGCTGCAAGAGCCAAGTTGCAGTTGAGCTGAAGAGAAGCGATCCGCTCAGCATTTTTCTCTTCCATAGAGCTATATCGTTTACAATCTCTGCAAAAAAACAAAGGCGTTAGCGTAAGGGATCGAGGGATAGCGATCAGATAGAGGTAAGGAACTGACCTCCAGGCTGAGACCGGGCAATTGTCTCTAATTGACTTTCAATCAGATCAAAAATAATACCACCAGTATTTTTTGCACCTGAATTAAAATCTTCAAGTATAATAGAAAAAAAGATTGAAAACATTAGCTTCAGTTCGTCAACAGCATCCAAAATTTTTCTAGTATCCCCCAATATCATAACCGGAAAGAATACTTGCAACGTCGTTCGAATAGAATTATCCAGTTCAATAAGCTCTTTGGCGAACTTGTACTTCTTGCAGTAGTTCCATGAGCTTACGCCAGAGCATTTATCAACAGTTTCCTTGGCTTGATTCAACAGATTCAACAACCTCTCAATTTCCTGTTCATCTGTCGACCCACTAATCTTTTTGACCCTGGGAGAGATCCACTTAACTGTGTCATTGAGGTGATTGAGAACGGGTTTAAATTTTTTGGTTGTCTCATTTACTTCTGATATGGCTTTCAATAATTTGTTAACTGCTGTTCCTAAAGCAACATTTACTGCAGCATCACGAAATAAACCTGCGTTCATTTCCGTACTACTACTTTTACAAATTAAAGGAACTTGATTTTCTTTTACATAAACGATCGAGAACGTAAACTTATATTTATAGCTATTAGGTAAGCACGTTGATCTCAAGTAAGATTGCTTCTTGGAAGCTGCCCTGTCCTTCCCCAGGACCTGATTGTATGTTCATTTGACCTGGTCTGATTGATTTTTTTTTTTTCACTGTATCTACTAGGAAATCTTTCCTTTTATGTTTAATTACAACTGGGACATACTATTCTCTATAGAAGCAACTATTCATAGTCATCCAGGGCAAGTCTACCCTAAATTATATGAAAATGGGAGAAAACAACTCCGATATTATAATAATAATAATTTTCAACCGATCAGTTGCACAAAATCATTAAATATCTCAAGTCTTCCCATTTATAATAACAAATCAAAACAACCAAACCTATATATAAAAATTCAAGTCAATTCCTAACTTACAACAGGTTGAAAAGAAAGGATCAATAATTATAATATTTTTATTTTGGCTGAAAAAAAGTTTTAAAATAAAAGTTTAATATATACATTTTTACATTGCGAACAGTACCATGTTTTTTTAATTGGTAATTTATTGTAAATAATGTTACATGGTGTCTCTAATTATGTGATAATGCTATGTAATGTGATATGTGACAGATAAGATGACAATACCACGTCAGCATATGGTTAATCTTAGATGGTTGGATAATAAAAAAAATAATTTTATAAATATTAATGATCAAATCATAATATTTTTTTATAATTAGATGATCCAATAAAAAATTTATTTAAAATTAAATAACTAAACATGTAATTTATTTTTTATACTATTATCTATTGTCTCAACTGGTTTATAGATATGCTTGGTATACAAGATTATGATAGGATATTATAAAATGATATTATGAATATAATTAAATTAAATAATATTATCTTATCTTATATTATATTTAATGTGTGTAAATATTAAGATAGGATAATTTATCTATTGGTTAAAATTATTATTCTTTAAAAATTTATACAATTTAAATTTTTGATATAATTTTTAAGGCATAATAAGACACATAAGTTCAATCCAAAAAATTAAAAATAATTCTCTCAACCTTGAGAAGATTGAATTATCTTATATCAAGAAAATGATTAATCTTCCTTTGGTGGATCTTGACATCTAATCTTGCGGGGCCAATTAAAATTATATATATATATATATATTCATTTGTTATGTTATTCAAATCTGAGAATTAATATCATATGTAGTATGTGTTCAATAAAATATACTAATTTTTTCTAATTTTTTCTTTATTTTTAGACTGTTCAATCTCTATATTCATATTTACTACATATATATCAAATATAAAGATTTCAAAAAAAATTTTTGATCAATTAAAATAATTTATTTGAAGTTTTATCAAATAAAAAAATGAAAAAAGTCACAAAGATATAAGAAAATAACTGCCGGCTAAAAAAAGAAATACACTTTGGTATTTGGTTGAAAAGTTGTAATCTTGTTCAGAAAATTAGAAATTAATTCCTTTTTTTTTTTTTTTTAAGATTACATGCATTTAACTTAATATTTTTTTACAAATATATTATTTTTAAGAGTATTGTGGATATAATAAATAGACAAATAATATTGTTATTTTAATTCTTCATAAATTAAAATTGTTAAACTTAAATTAAAAATAAAAGATAAAATTAACAAATAACAATTTTAATATGAGAACTAATTAAATTAAATTTAAATATATAAAATAATTATAGTATATATAATATAATATTCTTATATATTAAAGAGTTGAGTGCTAGAAATAATTGCTTATACAATTATCTTTCAACACCTACTTATATAAAGAAGTACATCATACTATCATGTGAAAGAGTAAGAAATACTAGGGTCGGTTTTTTTCTTCTATAAATAATAAATTATGAAGTTCTAAAAAATTAAGAAAATTTAAAATTTATTATCCAGTTTTATGAACTACCAATTTTTGAAGCTATTATGACTAGACTCATTAATAGAATAAATGTTTAAATAGCTCCTCATTTGACTGCCCCTAGCATGGCATCAAAGGGTTTACAAAATTTTGTGGGGACCAAAGCCATCTCAGGCTCTAATGAAGCTTCGCCTTTGTCTTTTTATAATTTTATCATTTTTTAGATATAAATTAAATATAATATAAATCAAGGAATCACCACCCAAATGGACAAAGCTTCTCCACATTCAGTCCTTCCTTTCAGCCACTAGAGCATTATTATTATTATGGTGGTGAGCATGAGCTCGCGGTGCGTCTGTAGAAATCCGCGTGGTTCCCACTTCGAGCCCTTTTGCCTTGGTTGGTCGGGTCATCAAATGCTCAAATCCAATTGCCCAACATCTCACGTGACGACTTGTATATATTTTTAATTTTCCTAGTTTTCTGCTTGTATATATTGAATTTTATTAACTAATGTTTTATGTGTATTAATTAAATTAATTTTTTATTGAAGAAAAAATGAATTCAAATGATTATATAAAAATGTTTGTACTAATATGAATTAATGTCTCGTTGTCTTTATTAAACTTAATGTCACTTATTTTAAATTTTAATGATTATAATTATAATAAAATATTTATAATTTTGATTTCATGAAATTAAAAATTATTGATTTTTCATTTTAGTAAAATTCATCCACTTACTTGAATATTATTTCTACTTGTAAGTTGAATTATAAATTTTATTAATATATAATAAATATTTTAAAATTTCCATTTTCTTCAATAAAAAATTTTAAAAAAACATTTGTGATTTTACACATAGTAGAAATAGATACGAATAAATTACATATAGATAAATAGATAAATAAATAAATAAATAAATAGATAGACTGTATAAATAGATAGATATAAGATTGGTCGACTGGACTTTATCTGTTTTACTTTAGGGACAGACCACCACTTCGAAATTGGTCCATATTGTTTGATGGCTATAACTAAAGTTTGGGTTGAATAGCTTTGACTTTTTGACATTGACAGATACGATCATGCAGATAATCGCTGAGGCCACCATTCCAGCTGCTGGAAGCCCATTGCTTAAACCATTAAATGGTAGACAACCTTGATGACGAGGACACGGATGACCTTGATTCTTAATCTGAGCATGGTATTTATAGCAGCGGGGGAGATAGTCTATACAATGTAATAGGAAGAAAGACAGCTTCTCTGCATTAATGGTGCAGTTATTTCGGGCATATCAAAGTGTGAAGACATGGCTGCAGAGAATTTATGGTAGAGTGCCTGGTAAAGTATCAGACAGAAAGACTGTAACAACACTGGTCTCAAATTGCCGTGGTCCATTGAGTATATTATGTTCATAAATGAAGCTTTATGCATGAAAATAAAGGGAGCTTATACAGTATATGAGAAAAAAGAAACTTATAAACATGTCTGAAGCCAATTTAAATTGATATCTTCCTCGTGAACTTTTACCTCTAGATTGGTGAGATCAGATTTGAAAGAATACCATTGATAGGCTGTCTCCTCATCACAGATGACATCCTTCAAATGCTGAAGCTTTTTGATTGTTGAAGGTAGGTTACAGCTGGAGCACCCTCTCATATAGAGCTTGCTTAGATTGTGCAGTTCACCAATCTGGATTGGCATGTTGATGATGCTCAGACAGTCGGAAATGTCAAGAACGGTAAGCTGGGATAAGCTCCCGATGGTCTCAGGCAATGTCTTGAGGTCAGTACAGGATGTTAGTCTTAGCACTTTCAAGTTTACCAGCTTTCCAATGCCATCAGGCAGTGCACGAAGCTTGTGACAGTTGGTGATACTAAGCTTCATCAGTTGAACAAGATCACACAACCCATCAGTCAGTTCCACCAGATCATCACAATAGTCAATGTCAATTTCCAAAAGATTTGGAAAAATATCTGACATCCTGTTAGTACCGTTCTTAAAAGCCTGACCTATAGTACACATAACCAATGATATTTTTCGCAAATTCTTAAGGTGTAAAGAGCTCATGCTTAGGGAAGGGACTGACACCTTCTCTAACCTCATTCTGGTTAGACTGGATAAAGAACAGAGAAGTGGAAAGTTCCGTAATTCCGTCGGGTAGATACCATTATTCATGACTATCAAAACCTTCAATTTATCCATTTTCTCCATGAACACAGGCAAGGTGTAGTTCATTGTTCGAAAATTGAGAACTAGAACCTCAACTTCTGGTGCCTGAATGCTGCCCCAATTGAATGAGAATGTTTCATCTGTGATTAAGTGGGATAGGAAGTTAGTGGTAGGAGTAAATTTCTTAATGTGTGTGTATGTGTCTGAAGGTTGGAGAGGTACAGATAACAACCTGTGGAAATAGACAAGAGGCGGGCACCAAGAGGTGGTTGCTTTTCTTCCAACCACCAATTGGGAAAATTATTGCTGCTTAGTTCTACAATTAATCTCTTTCTTTTTTCTACAGGGTCCAAGCTGCTCAGATAGATAGCCAGCTCTCTTAGAAGATCATGCTGTATGATGAAGTGATCATTGTAGTAGCCATCAGCTTCACTTGCATCTTTCCTGGTGAAGAAGAAACAATAAATCTGTTCGTGAAGACACATAAACGTATACCATAAACAATAACTTTATGCCTATCTAATAAAGGAAGCAAGTTTGAGGATTTGCCCTTTTGATTTCCATTTAGATTATTGGAATTATAGGCTAGAACAGGGGAAACCCCTATAACATTAATAGATTTGAAGAGAATAAAAAACATAACTAGTAGAATAGGTAACATAGCTAGCTGGAATTATTGAGAAGGGTGGACATGGATGTTAAAGTTACAATAAATAGAAAGTAGAAGCCAACTAGCATACCTCATGACTACAAGATTAACCAGATTCCTGGTGGAGAATTCATGGAGGATGACAATGGCATCATTATCTTCATCTAGTTTGTGCTGCTCCACCCACATATCACTGAGTGCAGTAGCAGGAATCATATGATCTTCAGGGAATGAACCCAGGTCCAGGTAGCAGTCTAATCCTACCATACTATCCAGGGCATCTAAACTGCTTTCAAGACAAGCAAGCAGTTCGGCACTAGAATGAAATATGGGTAGCCCTTTAGACAGCTGCTTTGCTCTACTTTGCCAAACTGCCACAGGCTGCCCACAAAGTGATCTACCAACCACTTCAAGGGCCAGTGGGAGTCCCTTACAACTTTTCATTACCTAAAACTCAACACAGAACATTACAATAATTTTTTAGAGGTTCAGGAAAACACTTATTAAATAACCTAGGTATCCAAATATCAACAATTGAACCATTTGATCTTTAATTTAACTTATAGTGGTAAATCAACAGTGAAATAGAAAAGTGTTTATTGTTTCATACAACGATTGAAAGTTAAAATAAGTCTTCAGATTAATAAAAATACCTTATTCACGAGATCTTCTGGAATATAAGGATTTCCATTTTGCGAGAATGCAGAGTGATGAAAAAGAGTCATTGCATTATCATCATTTAATGGTTTCAAAATATATGTAGAATCAAATCTTGGAAAAGCAAATCTTGATGTTACCAAGATCTTGTAATCTGGCAATGAAAACATGAGTTTCTCAACGAGGGATTCAGATCCAGACCAAACATCGTCCAGGATCAGTAATATGGGATCAGTTGCCATTTGTGTTAAGTTTCGTTCCAAGTGGTTCAGGGCATCCTCCTCACTTTGAAATTCAGGCATTCTATGATCATTAACCTGGAGTAATTTCTGCAAAATGACCTCCATGTTGGGTGCCTTCGAAACAGTGACATAGAAGATGTTGTCTTTAAATTTTCCTGTTCAAACACCGCATTAGAAATCTGATAAGGTTTCATAGAAATTTTATAGCGTTTTGCAAGTGACAAAAATATTCCCCCATAGCATGAGAATTCAGTAAAACCGAATCCAAGATTTCTCAATTGCTTGCCTAAGTAAGATTCCGGTTGTAGGACCACACCAAGGAAAACATCCCAATTACTGTCAAAATGACTCATAAAATTTCTTTGCCAAATACTAGAGCAGTCATCTAGCTATTCTGTGCACGAAGTCTTACATGGCAGGGTATTTAATTCAAATTGACAAATCAATAGATGTCCATCAAACAATAAAAAAAGTCAAAGCATAGACAAGCTAAAAAACATCAAACAATAAAAAAAAAATCAAGAACCAGAACTAAGAACAAGAAATGATACCCTTGACTTCTTCATCTCGACATAGCTCTTTAACCAACGTTGTTTTTCCGGATCCTCCCGGAGCAGACACAACAATGACTGATACCCCATCTTTGAAAAGCTTCACCTTTAGCTCTGTCAAGGGTACATCGAATCCAACAACTTTCCCTAGGGGCTTAGGTACTTGGCATGAACCCACAACTGCAACCTGACTAAACATCCCATTCTCGCTACCGGACCCCTCTTTCGAACTGTGTCTGCTCACTTCCATACTAATGCTTTTAACTTCAAGTAGCAAATCTTTGATGTCTCTCGTTTGATGTGTTTGCATATCAATCTGACAGAAGCGCTGAAGCGATTCCTTGTATCTTTGAAGTTTGTATGTATAACAAGTCTTCTTGAAGAAGTTCCACCTGTGGATTTTAGAGCACTTACTGACAAGTTTGTGTCCTTCACGGATGATTTCGATGAGCAGCTTTGTTTCGTTCTCCTTATCAAGCTCTTTGTTGAGTGATTCTATGTGTTTGATTGTTGACTGAATCTTGAATAGCGTGGATTTCAGTTCCTCCCAGACATCAGGGAACATGGTAGCTGTTTCAGTGGCTTTTACAATGGCTCTAAGCAGCTCTCCAAAAACAGCCCCTAGAGCAGCTCCTCCGATTAAAGCTCCGGCCATAATAATCTTTAGGGAAACCAGAAAAAGGAAATTCAAGAAACATCAATGTTTTCATCTAGCAAGAATCACAATAAAAAGAAGAACCCACCTCTATTCCTTAATGAGTAAGCTCATCGAAATTTCCTTCAGGTCTGGGAATCTTTGACTATAGATTTTTGGCTTCATTGTGAAGGAAGCAAGGAATTACCATAATTATTGGAGTTTATTACGATTTTCATCCCTTCTTACAACCTCTTGAAGGGGTTGATGTCCTGTTGACTTTAAGTTAACCAACGACTTAGTTACAACTGTTTACGCTTTAACAAAGTCGTATAGATATTGTAAGGTAATTTTCAACTAATTTAAATGAAAATGTATTTTTATTTTTTATAGAAGATTGCATGTTTCTTCATCAGGCTGGATCTGGATTTTATAACATTGAAAACAAATAAAAGCTTGTTTATCTGTTCATGGGCCCAAATTCACCTTAAATTGGGCCTTCATCTCTCTATAAAATTCTCGGTTTTCAAATTTCCCATCAAATTATCAAATGACCATAGCCGAAACCACATTATTCAGCAAAATTTTCTCAAACTATGAGATCAAGGGATTTCAGAATTTCCCATTCCTTACCTTTATATCACCAAAGAAAGTGATAATCTCTTTCTTCATTTTCTTCTCAAATCCAAACTCATAAAAATTTCCCTGGGAAAGGTAGAGTCGATGGTGGATTTGAGATCATTGAGAACGAATTTGAAATCTAAAATCTGTCTTTTTTTCTTGTTCAATACTTTAATGACTCTCAATAATTCTTTAATTAAGATTCCTCAAACTATCTCTAAAGCCATTTCTGTTGCCACTTGTAACTGTTTTAGCCATAGAAATCTTTTTTTTTTTTTTTGGATAAATCTGAATTTCATTCATCCAAGCTAGCAGTGATCTGTTACAGAAAACAACAATTCATAATTTTGCAAATAATCAAAGAATAAATTCTACTATCCGCTTATTCAAAATATAAGTCTATTCTAACATAGTAATATTAAGGATTATTAAGGGTCCATGCATCACAAAGGTCCTTATTAAAGACATTTGCAGCAATCCTATAAGCCTAGCAACCTAATTCTAATAGCATCCTTGATTCGATCCATCACTTGCGTTGAGATTTTTTCCATTTGCTTAAACAGTCGATTATTACTTTCTTTTCATATCATATGTATATATATTTGCGCATGCCATGCTAAGCGTAGTATATTAGAAGTCAATGCTCTCCCTTTTAGTCTCTTTTCCGCCCAACTTAACTCTGCAACTCAATTTCCTATTTTTATAATGGGAAATGAATCCATTTTAAATTCCATGAAGTTACTCTGCTGCCTCGTGAAATTTTCTGGACCGTTTCCGAGGCTACCTTCTCCAACATCATGTAGACGGTTGACCAAGGTGACAGCTTCTCATTAAGTAAAAACAATTCATGGTCAGATCCAAAGTAAGGTGTAATATCATCTGAAATTGAAAAAATTTCCAAAATCCAAAAGAAAAAGAAGGGTTAATATCTTATTCAGTCTATCATATATAATAACTTGTGAATATTTAATTTCCACTACAATTGCTATGAAGGTGTCTAAATATAGTATAATTAATTTAGTCATCAAGTTATAATAAATTATATAGCAGCTGCTATTGTTGGATTAGTTGATCAATCGTTTTACTTCACCTAATCACTCATGCATAAATTTTTCTGCTATGTGATATGTAGATGATAAAGAAAACAAGTTTTTTGAAACAGAAAAAGACTATGAGTGAAAGATTCGTTTCACTTATAAGAAAGTTTTAGAAACAAGTTTATAATAATGGTTGTGGGCTATTCTTTATTTGTTGGAGACAAAGTTTATAACAATGAAGTTTGCCACAAATTTTCAAAATTATTTGCAACTTGCAAATATAGGCCAATGTACTTTTCCTGTACCAACTACCAAGAAACCAAGAAATTAACTAGTCATGATTTTGATCAAACCAAATAGGCCCGAGTTTGGAACCAATAGCAATGATGAGTACATATATATCAGTTCTGTTTCTTTAATTTCTTCTTATTGATCTCGTCTTGGACAAGGCTGTTCTTCGCTGTATCAGTTAGCTTCTCCTCAATCATCTCGTAGACTCTTCCCAACAGACTGCCCAGAGGCTTTATTCGATCCCCGTGCTTCGCCACCGTCACAGGAATTGTTGTACCCATCATAACAACTGCAACAACAACAACCGAAAATTTTAACATTGCAATTAATTTAATGGGGGGCTTTAGCCTAGCTAGTGGCTAAAACCACGAATATTGAAATTCTGAATATAACTTTCAGGGTTTAAATTTATAGCAAGTAGCAGTATTACCTCTACAAAGAGTAGGCAGATCAAAGAAGCTTCCCACGTAGGAGAAAATTAGTAGAAAGGCAACCGTTTGTGGAAATACAAACCATTCTCTTTCAACATCTGTCACATGAAATAACAATCTTATTAATTTATCAGTCAGTTCCCAACAAGCGTTTGCAGTCTCCATAACAACCTGCTCTCGGATACTTTCCAATCTCGACTTGGTTGCTTCTTGTCTGATATTAAAAAAAAAAAAAAAGAACAGTGTCGGTCGTCCCTCTCAAAATTTATTGCAGTTTAAGATATAAGAAATGGGATTAAATTAATTTGGAAATGAAACTACTTACTGGCCAAGATACCGATTTACATATCTCCAAATGAACAATGAAGTAACAATGAAAATGACCACCCATGAAGCAATAGTGAGAAAGTTGTATTCATAAACTTGCTGCAAGAGCCATGTTGCAGTTGAGCTGAAGAGAAGCGATCCGCTCAGCTTTTTTCTCTTCCATAGAGCTACATCGTTTACAATCTCTACAAAAAAAACAAAGGCGTCAGCGTAAGGGATCGAGGGATAGCGATCAGATAGAGGTAATGAACTGACCTCCAGGCTGAGACCGGGCGATTGTCTCCAATAGACTTTCAATCAGATCAAAAATAATACCACCAGTATTTTTTTCACCTGAATGAAAATCTTCAAGTATAATACAAAAAAAGGTTGAAAACATCAGCTTCAGTTCGTCAACAGCATCCAAAATTTTTCTAGTATCCCCCAATATCATAACCGGAAAGAATACTTGCAACGTCGTTCGAATAGAATTATCCAGTTCAATAAGCTCTTTGGCGAACTTGTACTTCTTGCAGTAGTTCCATGAGCTTACCCCAGAGCATTTATCAACAGTTTCCTTGGCTTGATTCAACAGATTCAACAACCTGTCAATTTCCTGTTCATCTGTCGACCGACAAATCTCTTTGACCCTGGGAGTGATCCACTTAACCGTGTCATTGAGGTGATTGAGAACGGGTTTAAATTTTTTGGTTGTCTCTTTTACTTCTGATATGGCTCCCAATAATTTGTTAACCGCTGTTCCTAAAACAACTCCTACAGCAGCATCACGAAATACAATTCCGTTCATTTCCGTACCACTTTTACAAATTAAAGGAACTTGATTTTCTTTTACATAAACGATCGAGAATGTAAACCTATATTTATAGCTATTAGTTACATACGTTAATCTCAAGTAAGATTTCTTCGTGGAAGCTGCCCTGTCCTTCCCCAGTACCTGATTGTATATTCATTTGACCTGGTCTGATTGATTATTATCTCACAGAATAGACTAGGAAACCTACCCCTTTATATTTAATCACAACTGGGACATACTATATGTTCCCCGTAGTCTAGAAGCAACTATTAATGGTCATTTAGTGCAAGTGCGCCCTAATTTACACAAAAATGGAAGAAAATAACTCGATAATAATAATAATAATAATAATAATAATAATAATTTCTAGGGAACAATGATTCTGAGTTTAAAGAGGGAATTCCATTCACTATGCGCATGTCAACGTGGAAGGAGTCATGATAGGGTGAAATCTTATATAATATTAAGGGTTAAAATTTTAATGCTAAATATTAGTTTTATATACAATATATTAAATAAGCTAATACAACAAGCCGAGATTAAAAAATTTTTGCAGATTTTGAAGCAAAATCAATTTTCGGATATAGGTATTTTACTGTTTCTCTTATTTTGATTCAATTTTAATTTTTTGAAAATAATTGATATTTTTTAATGTTCATCTAATTTGTGCTCAAAAGTTTGTTCTATTGGTCTAACTTCCACGCTACTGGTTACTGCTTGACCTTTTGCTTTGCTTTCCCACTACTGGTTTCTCGTAATGTTGAATAAGGTCCATTCAAACTCTGCATAGGATTCTAATCCAAGTCTCCCCATGTTTTTTGTCCCCTTTTTTTTTTTTTTTTTCTTGAGTCTGCCTTCTTCCCAGTACGCCTTCTTCCCCTTGTTCGCTCATTTTACTTCTATGCCTGGCTTTAGCTTTTGTGATTGGAACAGTAGTTGGTAATGGGAATTTACTAGTTTTCAACATAGGATAAAGATGCCTGCGAGGGTGGGTCTCGTTTGTTTTTTGTGAGCTTTTTTGAATGTGTATAAAAACTTCCATAGTCTACACCTTAATTTACCAAACATCTCCTTTCATTTTTAAGTAATGGACTTATTAAACAGGGTTAGGAAATAGGGAAGACTATCAGACCAACAGTTGGATTTAGAATTTACCCAAATTATTTTGGATTCAGAATTTACTCAAATTATTATATATTCTAGATTAGTGGGCGGTATGTACATATGTATAGCACTTGTTGGTTACGTTACATGAGTTAATTGTAGACACTCATTTTTTTCAAACCTGCTTTTTCGATAAGCTTCAAATAAAATAAAAGAAAATAAAAGTAAAATAAAGTTCTAGTTCTAATAAAATTATGGGATAAAGGGATTTAAATTTTAAAACTAGGATAAAGAAGGATTTCTTTTTTAAAAAGGGGATAAACAGATGAGAGGATGGGAAGATTCTAATTTTTGAATCCTCAAACTAACCCTATATAAACCATCAATCGCACACAGCAAGGGAAGAGCCCAGAGGAGAGGGAAAAATATAAGGGAATTGAGAGGCAGAATCAAAGAAGAAGCAAAACAGAAAAGAGGACTTCGGTTTAAGTAAAAATTCTGGGTTCCGATTAAAAAAAAAAAGCAGTTTAGTCAAAAATCTTGGGTTTCGTGTTCTTGAATTTTTAGCTTCTGTGTTTCTAAGTTAAGAAAAACATGCAATATAGAGTAAGAAGAAGCCAGTCGGTTCCATTGTGGCCACTCAAATATCACCAAGTCACTTTTGTTCAAATTTTCGCTCCTTAAAGAGGAATAGCACACCAACATGAAAAGCTCCGATTTCAATCGCTCCATTAGCTTCGGCTACATGCGCATCATCATCCATCCGCCAGCAACAGCTTCGGCTTTACAATAGAATCCAAGCACCAATCCTCCCACAATCCTTGCCTACGTGGCACTAAAGGTTTAGGAGATGATCGATGTTGACAGACGAGAAGGAGATATTTTCTAAGCAGTCGAATGGAACAAAGGGAGGCTGTAGTATTAAGAGCAGTTTGCAGTAACAGTCTTACGTTCAACTGGAAATAAATGCATCCTGACCGTTTCCTAAATATTTAATTGGTTCATTAATTTTAGTGGTGCACGATTTGCCAAAATTTTGAGATTGAGATGCGTCATGGCTGATAAATCAACATTTCTCTACAGTTACAGGTTTTTAAGATAAAAAATCATTAGATTTTATTCATGCTAGATTATAAATTCAAGTGGGAAAGCAATCCATATTTTTTTTTAAGGATTTCTCGAGTCGAGCCAACTAATCGAGCTGCATAAACTGTTGACTTCTGAGTTGAGCAATTGATTGAGCGTTCATTAAATCTTGAGTTGAACTGATACTCCTTAAGCTTAGTTGAGTTAATTTTTTGATAATATTTTATGTTTATGTATTTATTTATTTATTTAATATTTTTTTGGGTGCATATTTTTAAAAAGTATATATAATAATTTCAAAATTTGAGAAAAAATTAATAAAAATATTTTTTCTTAAATAAAAATGACCAATTTTCCTTGGATAAAAAATATTTAAAATATCATTTTGAGAAAAAATTGAAGTATTAATTTTCTTTAAATAAAAAATTTTACAAAAAATATTTTTTTAAAAAAGTTGAAAGTATTAATTTTGCTTCAAAATAAAAATTTTTTAAAAATATTTTTTGAGAAAAAGTTAAAAGTATCAATTTTTTTTGAACGAAAATTTCAAAAAATATTTTGTGAGAAAAAAAATTAAAAGAATCAATTTTTCTTAAAAATAAAATATTTTAAAAATATTTTAAAAAAAGTTGAAAGTATTAATTTTTCTTAAAAATGAAATTTTCAAAAAATATATTTTTAGGAAAAGTTAAAAGTATCAATTTTTCTTAAAGATGAAATTTTTAAAAAAATTTTTTCGAGAAAAAGTTGAGAGTTTCAATTTTTCTTAAAAATAAAAATTTCTAAAGATGCTTTTAAGGAAAAATTTGAAGGTATCAAATTTCCTTGAACAAAGGCATGAATCTTTTTTTTAAAAAAATAAAATAAGAAAAGCGATCTAAAAAAAAGTTGAAGTATGATTTTTTTTTCTTTTTCAGAATTCCTTGTTAATGTAAAAAATCCGATGATAGAGTCCCTGAAAGAAAATAGTAATTTTTTTGTATATTCTTAAGGTGAGAAAATTTTTTAATTTTCTGTTAAAAGTAGTGGAGTGAATTAAGCATAATTTTCAATAATTAATTACTCAGTAAGATTTTTAAGGCTAAATGGATAACACGAAATTGAGCTAGTACTATCATTTAGATAGGCGTCGTGGGTGTACTATAACCTTTCTCACACATAATCTCACTCTTAGACCTAATTCTGGATAACTGATGGCAACTGCTTAAGTCAATGTCTAATGATAGGTCCTCGGATCTAGACGTTATGACAGTTTGATGATTCCACTGAGGATATATCAAGAGTCAAGCTAACAAATAAATTTGTGTTATCCAAAAGCCTAATAAAATTGATTTTTTTTAAGATTTTTGTTTAGTTATTTATTTATTATGTCATTCATATGCATGTGCATAACATGAACTTTATACCCGAGCTCTGTCCTTTTAAAAAGGAGTAAAGTACCTATGCTTTCATGAGATTTTAATGCCTCTGCAGTGGTTAGCAAAATACTCTCACTCAAATTAAATCATTTTCACATGTAACCTGTGATAGGTGAGGATAGAAGTGCCTCACTAGTCTGTGATGGACAAAGATGTGAGGAATAATTTGAGAACCTTTGGACTATTAACTTTGAACCACATATAGTAAGCATAAGAAACCTAACATGTAGTTAGAGCCTTACCTTCATTTTTCATAGAAAAATTCAACAGTTAAGTTACATTTTTACAATGATTGATTTTTCTTGAGCGAAAATTAACTACTATTGTCATGTTGTATGAATTGTCATGATAAAATGCATGTTAGTTGAATTTTTTTTTCTTTCGTCTATTTTTCTTTCATTTAAAGCAAGAAAACATTAGGCTACATATATTTTTTCATTCATTTCATATGTGTTAACTTGAAATCATATTAAGATTATTTTTATAGTCCTTCTTTCATGACATGAGCATGTAGTAATGCAAGCATCTTAATTTATAGTAATCAAAGGTTCAAAGATAACTTGACCATCGATAAATTCAAGCCAACCTACATGTCACCATATAATACTCGATCGCAAGTAAGGCAAATTAAACTGGAACAAAGTACCCATATGGACAAGGTCGAGAAAGCTCAAGAAGAGATAAAGGAGGAGTTAGCAAAGATGATGAAAATGCTAGAGAAATTAGATAAAGCTAAAACAGTAAAAGAGACCCAAATTCAAATGAGAAATAATATATTATGGATTCTCTACACCTTTCAGGGTTTGGCCCAAATCAAGGTCAATCTTCTCAAAATACATAAGCCCACCGTTGCCATTTTCTGGGGCATATCATAAAGTGCCATTTCATAGCTACACTAACCCTACCTTTGGGGCAAAGTCATATGATCCAATTGAGGTTCCTGATTTTGATGATTTTAAAGAGAAAGAAAAATTGAAGATGAAGACTTTTAAGGTGATGAAAGATTCGAGCATGCAACAAATGAACCTTTTAGAAGATAGAGTGTGAGCTATTGAAGGAATAAATTATTTTGGCTTTGCAAATACAGTTGAATTATGCTTAGTTCCAGGTATGGTCATCCTGCTAAAATTTAAAGTCTTCGAATTTAAAAAATACGATGGGACAAAATGCTTGGTAACTCATGTTACCATGTATTATTACAAAATGATTGTCCATGCTCATGATGAAAAATTACTGATGCATGTTTTTTAAGATAGTCTCATTGGCTCAGTCGCAATGTGGTATGTCCAGTTAGATCGACCTCGTATCCATTTTTGGAATGATTTGGCAAAGCCATTCATCGTCCAATACCGACACATTATAAACTTAGCTACAGATCATTTATCTTTATAAAGAATAGAAAAAAAACCTTCTGAGGAAATATATAAAGTATAAAAGTTGAGCGTTTCAATTTTTCTTGAAAATAAAAATTTTGGAGATGCTTTTTGAGGAAAAGTTGAAAGTATCAATTTTTTTTGAATAAAGGTGTGAAT